ATTGTTATTCTCTTACGCGTTTACGGTGCTTTATCTGTTGATTTAAGTTGGTTTGTGCGCGTATTCAGGGTTGTGCGCTTTTCTTATGTTTGATATGTTTTTGGACTTTGATGATGAATTTTTTCAGTTCGACAACAGTTTTTATTTTTGAAAAACACGAACTTAATTCGTTAAGCACAAAAACTTACGTTTGACTTATTTTGTTAACAGCATTGGAACACCTGGGGGTACTCAATTTTTGAACCAAGAAACTTTCAGACGACTAGATTTCATAAAACAAATCGGATCGCAAAAAGTTCAAGTTTTTTGAAGCAGACTATTCTTCTAAGCATGCAACTAATAAGGGTGAATATTTATTTTTTGGCTTTCGTTTTTTTTCCCCTAATTTGATGATATTGTTGATCTAACAATTTCATCCCAATTTATACAAAATGTTAACCCAATTTAAGCAAGTATGAATGATTAACCAATATGATTTTGTATCTAAAATAACTTTACACTGTTACTGTACTAATGCAACGACTATTGTGTATAGCAATTAAAGTGTTTTTTATTATTCTTCTTACTAAAGCAATCAAACTTCAAAATTTTTTTTATAATCGAGCAAATTGGATGACAAAACTTTATAGAGTGTTTATATTGAAACCAATTCAGCAAGGTAACGTTGAAAAAATTCAATTAGTTCTTGACCCAAAAATTTGGCGAAAAAAAATGTTTCCCTATGGAAGCTATTCAAGTTTAAGTTTATCTTAAGCAAACTATTTCAGAACTTTTTTCAGAAAAGAATCTCAGAATATCAAGCTGCACTTCTCTCTTGTCAAAAGAATGGTTTCATAATCCCTTGCTGTACTATGACGAACAAAGTCAACGAAAAAAATTAGTAGTGTCGAGAGTGAGAATGGCCGCTTGAAATCTCCCCGCCTCTATAGAACTGGCTATCGACCTTTTCAAAAGGTCAAGACAACCCAACTTTGGTGCTAATTTATTATGACACTTTTTGCGTTGAAAAAACACGTACAGATTTTGTAAGAAACCACTTTCCTCATCAAAAAATTCCTGTTCTTCACAAATTCCGGAAAAAAGAGATTCTGTACATAAATCGTATCAAATCATTTTAAAATTTTAATCGCCGTCTCTTCAGGGCAACTGTCCTAACACAGAAACAAAACGGAGCTTCACAAGCCTTTTAATATATTTTAGTCGTAATATTGAAAGGTGGCAGCATCAGCAAAAATTTAAGAAAGTACATCAGCAAAAACTTCATTAAGTTGTCCCCAAGGATCTTGAATTCAAAGAAAACATATCAAGAAACACAATCAACGCACATAAAAAAATGTTCAATGCCATTTGAGCTACAATTTACAATGCCATGTTGAGCTACAGCATCGGGACATAAAATTTGTAACTAAGTTGCAACCGGTGAAATATTCAATCTTTTTTTCACGTTTTCGTCGTTTTTTCTGTAATTAGTTGAGATTCATGACTGAATAACTGAAACATGATAATTGAAATTATTTGAAGTAAATAAAACTACAAAACCATTGATTTCACCGGAGAAAAAGTATGTAAGCAGCTCATAGAGTTTGGAATTTGGACTCAACAATTTTAATTGGAAAGCTAAAATTCTTAGCCAGGCTTTCACATACATTTTTTTAACATAAAAATTACTTGAAGGATCTAGTCAGCTGCAGAATTTAGACCTTATGGACAACATTTTGTTTCAAACATGAACGGTGAACCCTATAAAAATTTAAAATCAAATCAACAACTTTTTTTCATAGTTTTTTAATTGCTTGCAAAAAACTTTAGTTCTTAGAGTTTTAATGCAAGGAAGCAATAAATGAATGACTACCAGCACTGACAGAAATGGTTTCCGGTCAATTTAAATTGATTTAAAATCGATTTAAAATCGATCCAAATCGATTAACCATGTACATTTTACGAACTTAAATCCATTTTAAATCGATTTAAATCGATCTTTTTGAAAATTTTAAATCAATTTAAGTGTCTAAAAAATCGATTTAAATCGACTTCGATGGATTTTCCGACACACTCAAACCGATTTTTTTGCTAACACGGCGAAAAAAAACATACCCTTTAAAAAATTGTTGGAAATTTTTATTCTCGATTTTTTAAACATAAATACTCGTGCCAGATGTTATAGAATTCAATAAAATGATCCACATAAATCAGGTTTTAAACTCAAAAATTTGCTATAAAATCACAGAAAACATTGTAAATCAGATTATGGGCAAAATTTTTGTAACAAACCAGAAAAAGGTCAGTTAAAATTAAATTGCGATCTCAATAATATGCAATGAAATCATAGAAAAACATGAAATTAAATCAGATTTTAAGCAACAATTTATGAAACGAATCAAGAAAAGGGTCAATATAGATCAGTTTTTGAACTCATTAAATGCAAGAAAATCAAAGAATTTTATCAATATTTTGGTCATTTTATTTGGTCTTTTTTATGCTACAAAACGCTATGGATGTAAAATGAAAAATGATAGGCAAGAAATAAATGCAATAAAAATTTGAAACTGATAAAACTCGAATGAAAAAAATCGGTTTAAATCCGTTTTAATCCCCTTAAAAATAAAAACAAATTCAGACTGGAAAAAGTGCAATTAAACTGATTTAAAATCGACTTTGATCAATTTTTTTAGCTGGTTTCAATAAAGATCTTAAGTTTTATGAACCTGGTTTTTTTTACAAGCAGAACACTTCTCTCATGAACTTCAATTGAATGAGCAAACAGCAACACTAAAACATTTTTTTTTCTTTTTTAATTCGATTATTTTTATTTAATAATTTTATCTATCAAAATCTGTCAAAACTTCACCTATGATTTTAATGTAGTTACAGAAAAACCGCAAAAGTTAAATATATTATTCTTTATTCAATCGGATCAAAATTAAAATTCAAAATTTTTCCAAGAATATCAGTTTTTATAATAAACAAGGATACCCGGTTGCTGTGCAGGAAGCAGATAAAATTCCGACCTCGTTCATTAAAATACAAAAAAAGTTTTCTCTATTTTTTTGTTTTTGTCGTTTTTTGATGTGATTAGAGAACTTCACAAACGCCTAGAAAGTTAGTGATTAAGGCCTAATTGACAATCTTTGTCCTCAAAAATGAACAACGAACATAAAACTATAAAAATTATTTAAAACTTGTTTTTCAATTTAAAAAATGCACAAAATTTTTAAACTTTTTTCGGAAAAACTTAATTGTCAAGAAAGCAGTACAGGAGAATTTCAATCCAATTTTATCTTTAGTGAAATCAAGTTTTATCAGCCTAAAAACCTGAGTGAAATTTAAGTTTTAATATAACGAATGTTAGTCGATCGCTTCACTCGCTCGAAACTGAAATTAAGCTCGAGCAAAAATTTTTAACTGTTTTTTATCGAGTAAAAAATTTAACCTCCTTGAGTAGTGGACTTGGGTTCTTATGCAAATAAAACACCTCTCTCACGAGCTCTGTTTGAATGGGCAATTATTGCTTAAAATTAGCGTTTTTTTTTGTTTTTGGCTCAGTTAAGTCTTATTAATGCTCTTATTTTTCATACGTCAAGACATTAACCATGAATCTCGAATAATTAGAGAAAACAGCAATAAAGTGAAGAACATTTTTGTTGATTCTATGGTTCAAATGCAAATTTTCTGTTTCGTAATTGTATAAAATTTTGCCGGTTTCCTTCAAACGACGGAAAATGAGACAACTACGCCGACATAGCACACGGTTATCTCATTTAAGCTAGAAAAAAAATATAAAAGCAATGAAATAAAATCAAAATTGGCTAAAAAACCAGAACGATTTTCAATTGCGGTTAGAATTGCCTAAATTAGAAGGAGAATGATATGTTGAAGACTATAAAAACAACTAGATTAAGGATAGTCAGACTATTTTTTTTGCAAAAAAAAACATAATTCCACATACCCAAGGAAGACAAGCTCTGGTCTGGCTCCGAGAAGCGTAGAACCTGTGCTTCAAATGCGCGTACCTTACCTCTAGATCAAATGAGAAGCGGCCTGAAAGATATAGAGGTTACGGAACAAGACCAACTCTCAGCGATATTCAAGTTATGTTGCTTACGAGAAAAAGCATCGTTCCTGATTACAAGTACACATCCTCTAGTCACCAAAAACTTGTTTCCTCGGACGTTGAAGCCATTTCAAGACGCGGGAAACAGTTGAAATTTTGAATAAACTCCCACGCGTTCGTCTTTTTTTGTAAATTCAAATATTCATAAATTACCGAGGTAAGACAAGACTGCTCGTATCAGGGCGAAGCCCTGATTGTTCCGACTGCCTTCTAAGGTATATCGAGCAGTAATAACATTTTGATGTACAATAATTTTAATGTACAAAAATAAAATTATTTTTTTTTAAATTTGAGAATATTAAGTACAAAGTGATAGATTTTGCTCCTTTTAACAAATCATTTATGACATATAAGCTTCCTTGAACCAATTTGGAAGGATTTCTAAGACGGATTAAATTTCCGCTTACTCGTTATTAGCGCGAAATATATCGCGCGTTAATTGTCCCAAATTCGCCAAACTGGCAATCTATAAACACCCATAGCTTTACGAAAAATGATCACAGGTAAAATATATTTTTCAGATTTAAGCTCAGCACAACAATAGCTTCCGAATATTATTTTAAAAATTCCGTCAAAAATGGCTAGTTAAAAAAACGAAATTTGAAAAAAACCACTCGAGCACGAAAGTCGGAACAAACAGAGATATTTTTGTAGATTCATAGAGAGTACAACGCCAAAAGTTATTGCAATTTTTTTAAAATTTTCCTGAGCAGGTTTCCGTCCCTCGGCTCAATTACAAGTTCATAAACACTTTCAGACTTGATTTTAAAAATAGCATAAGGACTGCTCAAAGGTCTGAAATAAATTAAAAACTAGGAGATAGTTATTGGGCTCACTATAATTCCTTTTAATAGAAGCTGTGGGAAAGAGTTTCCACGCGGGAAAGTATGAAGCGATCAAAAATTATTTTGTGTAATGAAAGATATTTTGTTATGATGAAATTATTGCAGGTTGAAACCAAAACCCAACTAATTTTTTTGTTGAATTGTCTTGAGCGTCACCCCGTATTGGTGTGCGCTTGAAGCCCTGGCACCACTTCGATTTCAGTTTTACTCGTTTGTAATTGACTTGAGTTTATTTGTTGAGGTTCCATGCGTTTTGGTTTCGTTTGACATAGGCAGGCATCTCGAAGGATGGAGGTTGAATCAACTGTCCTTCTCTGAAATAGTCAACAAACTTTGCATTGATGCTTGAAAATTCCAATGAACATCCGCGTGCTTTTCTGATTTGTTCAACATTCATGGTCAAATTACTAATGCTACATGACATACCATCTATTAGATTTAAATTGTAAATCAATTAAATAATGCTAATGTAGACCAATTATTTAACACAATGACGCTATAAAACCATTCATCCAAAATGGAAACCACAAACACTTTGAATTTTTAGCTCCGGATGGAGAACAGCTGCAGCTCCTTCGGAAGTTACTTCAGAACTTCAAACTAAAACTGAGGTTAAGACCATTCACACAAGTCACAAACAACTAAAATATACCAGCTGTTCAGCTCCAGATGGATAACAGCTGTATCCCCCTATGTCAACGAACTTTACACTATTTAAGGTCGTTTTTCAAGGCTGACTAATTTTGCTCCAAAATCCAGCTTACATCTCACAATCATAGTCAAGTTTGAGCCACCTAGATTATTCTTTTACTTGGTCAAAACGGAAAGTTTATCTCAAATAAAAACGATAGGTTCATGAGGTAAAATTGAAAAAAAAATCATAAGTTTTACTTTTTGAAATGAGTCGCAAAAAAATTACAGTGAAACTATAAGAGGAAGCCATTTTTTGGGTTAAGTTGGTAGCAAAAAATCTAGTCATAACTTTATATTATAAGCTAACTTGTCGTAGAAGGCGGGTGGAATGTATGTCTGGGTTCTCTTGGTTTGAACCCATTCTTCCAGCGAAGCAATTACTTTGGGCACCTCGTTGTCGTGTCTGACCTGTAAAAAAATGACAACAGTATTGCAACTTTTTCAATATTTTAGCATTGCGTGAAACCAACAGCAAAATAATCGGACAATTTTGACGCCGACAACAGCCATCTAACATTTCTTCAAAACTTTAACGTTCATCGAATAACAATTGTGGGTTCTGCAATTCAATTCGCAGAGGATCAATGAAAGGCTATTTAGCCTGTTTAAGCATAGCCGGATTCTCTCATTTCTTCACTTTCCACAGACGGAGTTACTTAAATGAAAGCTCTTTTTTGTAACTCAAGGTCGTTTTTTTTATGCATTCATAACACGAATTGAGCTTGATAAAACCGTTAAGCTGGTTGGTCTGAAAGTTTTTGCTTTCGTTTAAGTTTTTTCGCTTTCAACAGTTATGACATGGTTGCTTTCGTGAGATCAAATAATTAATGCTTCTCGAGCTTTTCATGGTTGACTGTCTTTGATGTAAAGTGGTAACAGCTTTTTTTCAAGACTTTTTTAGTATCCAACATTTACAACAATTTCGTATAGAGTTAGTTAATCAAAACAAAGCTTGAACTTGTTTACGCAATAATGTAGACGTCAATGAAAAAATGAACCGTTCAAACAATACCTATTCTACGATTTAGGTATTGCAAAAACTCAAGTCCTATCATAAAAATTTTTGATTAAGAAAGCTTGTAATATAAATTTAGTACCAGTAGTCGTTGAATCTGGAGGTCTGTTGCGTTTTGAGTGATATCTCCATACGTCTTGCGTCTTTTCAGTAGATTCCTTAGTTTCACAGGATCTGCCTTGGCTGCAGTCTCGTCAATTTCTTCTTCTGAAATCTCCTCGTCAGGAATCAACCAATCAGGGTGCTTTATTTCGGCTCCACCGTCCTAAATTTAAAAATCTCGTACGGGGATCAAATGTGTCTTCATTTTAAAATTAGTCCCATAAGAGCAGTCTCAGCGCTGACAAAAAAGTCTGATTTTCTGGATATTCAGGCACAAATTCAGCTGAGAGCGGAAATTTTCATTTTGAAAAGAGGCTTTGATTTAGAGTGAGAACTCTTGATTTTTTTATTTAAACTTTGAAATCGCGCATATTATACATTGTTTGAGCATATTATGACCAACGAATTATTTACTTCACTAGTAAAAAAAACAATGAAAAGGCATGTTTTTGTTCCAAAATCGGTGTGGTTCGTTTTTTTATTTAGCTTTTTTTAAATACTTAAATATAGTGGGACGTAGAGCATTCTCAGCTACTTGCCCAGCAACCGGTTACCATTTTTACCACAATAAATCTGGTTATGACGGTCTTTATAATAATCAATTGAGAGAGTGTTTCTCACCTGGGTGTCCAGCTCTTCCAGCCTCTGTCTGACCTGCCGAACTGCTGCGGAAGCATCGTGAGATCTCTGCTTCAACTTCCCACTGATCTAGAACAACTTACAGACATCTTTAGCCGAAAGGCTAACTTTTTCTAAAAATTCGGCGCTTATAAAAAGCCCAATAATTTTGCCAACAATTTTTGCCCAACAGTATGCTGCTAAAATGAAAGAGAGGGAACCATTTTTTGGTGGAGCGAACAAGATTTTTAGCTTGAAGGAGGTACAAAATACAATTTGACTGTTAGATTTGAAGTCGGAGTTCTATAATTTCCATTTTTTTCTAATTAGTCCATTTGGAAACATTTAACGCGTTGTATTCAATTTCATCAAGCTAAAGTTGCTGGGAACTGAAAATTATGAAAGCAGTATACGCTTCACGTCTGTCATGTGTTTCGAGGAAATAAAGCGCGACGTTTGGTTCATTTATTTATCTTTACGCTAAGACTCATTAAGAGAAAAACTTAATTTTAAGGATTAAAGCAGGGGCGGATCTAGGATTTTCTCGAGGGGGGGGGGCGTATTTTCAAAAAAATTTCGAACGTTTTGTCGACTTTTTTTTGGGTCGGACAAAATGATTTTCCGAGCTCTCCCAAAGCACTACAAAGACTCTTTTTGGCCAAAATAAAAAAAAACAGGCCAAAAAAAGGCGTTTTTAGGCACTTTGAAAAGTTTTGACCAAAAAGTTGCGTTTTTTCGGCGCGCGTTCGCCTTTAGAAAAATTTTAGGGTCCGTCACCACAAATGTGTATCTCAAAATAGTATAAAGGGGGGACCCTTTGGGTCGGCAGGGGTCGAATCCCTAAAGGAGGTAGCGTCTGCCTCCCCCCCCCCCCCCCCCTAAATCCGCCCCTGGATTAAAGCATCAATTATTACATACACTCATCATGCCTGTCATGGTTCCGACTCCCCACTCATCCTTGGAGGCAATGCTGGAGTTATCAGCCATGATCTGCTTCAGGTAGTCCTCCAAGGACTCACAGGAACAGAACTCGATGTAGTAGCCGTCGGGATCCCGCACAAACGCCTATACATCAACAAAATATTTCAAACGGATCTCTTTAACTCTCCCCCTTTTGCAAAGGGGGAGATTTGTTGCTGGATACAAAATGCGCAAATGCTGAACCGTTGAATTGTTTTATTATAGGGGTGGCAATTCGCTACTTGGCGTCAATGGGGTGAAGTAGATAAAGAGATCCATTTCAAGCTCCTCAAAGCATTTCAAATACAGTATTGATGCCGTGAGCCATCGATCAACATTCATGACATAAATTATTAACATATTAATACTATCGAGTTAATGTCCCCTTACCTGTCATAATTCAAACTGCAATAGAAAAACTCCAAAAAAAAATTACCAGCTGCTGAGAAAAAAAGGGGTCGCAATTTTCTAGATAAATTCAAGCGAAAGATGTAAACACAAGATTGGATTAGTCACTCTGTAATGATATATAATTCAGAAATTTACAACTGTTAACACTTACTTGCTCAAGCTAATTAAATAACCCCTCTCCTTATGAAAAACAGCGAAAGAAAATTTGTAAAACAAAACGAGGATAGCCGGTTACTGTGCAAGTAGCTCAGAATGTTCTGACCAGTCTTAAAAAATACAAAAATGTTTTCTCAAATTGGTGTCGTTTTTTTTCTGCATCTTGCGATAAAAAAAATCTGAACGAAAAAATAGAAATGAGGCATATTTGAGAGTCATGGTAAAATAGGTCAATTGGAAAACAGTTTTTGAAGAAAAATGACTAGAAAAACGAAATAAAAATTTTAAAAAATTTTCAAACAAAACTTTTTTGGGAAAATTTTTGAACTTTTAAGTTTTTGATTTCCAAAATTGCACTGAAAAACTCCAAACACTATCTTTACTTTAGTAAAACTAAGTTTTCACGGCTTTAATTAAGCTCAAATAACCTATAGCAATTACTAACTACCTTACTAATTAGCTCGTAATTAGACCAAAAACCAAAAATTTCAAACCGGTTTTTCTCGAAACTGTGATTTTTTTTTGAAATTTTCAAATGTTCGAATTACGACTGAAAGGTCTTTAATATGATATATCACTCAATCCTGTCCGATGATTATTTGTGGTAGCTGATTTTGAGTAGAATAAAAAACTAAAACACACCCGAATACAAAGTTCCTTCCCATTTTCAATGGTCGGAACAATAATCGAAAAAGCAAAACAAAAATCCGTTTTCTTAAATGAATTTGTTGAAAACATTCTGGGCTACTTGCTCTGTAAATGGCTGTTCTCATTTCATAGCTTTCATATAAAGTTACTCTGCAGCTTTGGAAGGAATAGCTTTATGGCATTTTTTTGTGAATTCCGGGATGACCCTTTATTGCTATTCAGAAATGTCTCGTAAATTTTTCAGTTTGTTACATCCATAAATTTTTTACTGCGTAACACTTTAACGTTACACTGATGATCGATCTATTGATGATCATTTATGATGTGCATAGTTATAACATAGTTTATCTTGTAGTTTCATCAACAGACTGCGACAAAATGGTTCATTTCTGAATTTCACTGCCACTTCGACACAAGTTGCCGGCTTTCCTTCTTTGTACATTGACAACAACGTGATCTTCCGGAATGAGTTGTCACAGATTGTATAAACCGAAACTTTTTATGATGTATTAACAGCTCGAATTGCACCAAAAACGCCATATGCATTTGAAGTGCCCTTAACTGCGATCAGCTGATTCAAAAAAGTAGAGTACTAGTTGGCTTCAAGAATTTTCTATAGCCGGCATTTAGAAACACACATCAAGAGGACTATTACAAGCACGCAATGCTTTTTGGCAAAAAGTTCAATCACTTCTAGCGATTCACCACTGAGAGTTCAACAGCTCTTAGGTCCATCGGTTCCCTTTTGGCTAAACGTGTGGCATGCATTTAGTTTAAGTAGGAGCCACTTATTCCCGAAAATTCACGTTCATTGAGAATCAACGATTTACCCTATGGCGCCTAGTAACCTGGGTCGTCAGTGTGCTCAACTTATGCTTCTAGTTTGAAAATCGAGCAAATGCAGTCTTGCTACTAAAATTCCGAGGTCGAGAAGCCATTTTAAGTCCAGCACAAGTCAAAACATAGGTCAAAAAACTCAAAACATACCCGATTTTGGCCAAGAAAGTCCAAGCATAGGTGGAGAAAGTCGCAACATAGGTCGAGAAAAACGAAACATAGGCTGAGAAAATCGAATAATATCTATGCGGGGTCAAAAAACAAATTTCAAAACATGTTAAAAAAAATTAAAGAGAACTGCAATAAGTAGAATAAAAATCTACAAAAAAAAATCAATTCTATTGAAAACAAAAATGGATTTTAATCGATCATGATGGATCTGAGATGGATCAAATAAATTTTGAAAAGTTTTAGTTCTTATCTATGCGGGGTCGAATTTTTTTAAAAATGGTCGGTCGAGAAAGTCAAAACATATCGATTTTTGGTCGAGAAACTCGAACGTATCTATGTGGGATTGAACAAACAAATTTTCAAATTCTTAAAAGAATGTTTATCGAGAAAGTCGGCACACATCGAAATTTGGTTCAGAAAATCTAAGCAAACTATGCGGGGTCGAACAAATAAAGTTTTAAAAAATGTCTGTCGAGAAAGTCGAGAAGTTCAAACTATATCGAATTTTGGTCGAGAAAGTCAAAAATATCTGAATTGGATCGAAAAAAATCGAAAACTTTTTTGTTGAGTCGAGAAAGTCGAAACATACCAAAATTTGGTTGAGAAAGTCGAGACATACCGTTTTTTGGTCGAGAAAGTCGCGACATAAATCGAGCACGTCGACCCGGGAATGAATATCCCACCCTATGAAAATAATTCCATTAAACAGTTAGGCATATGCGAACCTTGTACCTGCTAACGTATGTCTGCTTTGTTTTGTAACAGTGGGGGTAGTAAAAGATAACTGTTATTAAAATCACAAGCACAAAAAAGCCATCCAACCAAGAATATTATGCGTGTTTAGTCTGCAATCCTATCTCGTTAGTCATTTTGATCAAGACCAAATACCATGTCAATAACACAAGATTAATGCGCGGGTCGAGGTGCTCATTTTTTTCCGACTTTCAAAGTCGACCACTTGTCAGTGCTCGACCGAAAAAGACTATTCGAGACAGGGGGTTTGAGTACAAGTTCGAAATATACCTATAGCAAGGTCGAAACATACCTCGTGCACGGTCGAAACATACCTTTAACATATATTTTTTCAACAATTTGGACTCAAAATGCAAAACAGTATTCCAAAAGATGGAAAAAAAATAACTCAAAAATAGTTCACTTCTATGCTTATTATTTTATTAATTTATTCTGGTAAAGAAGCATCATAGGATGTTACCCGAAAAGATAAATGGTAACATTTGAATTTGGATAACTCATGTTGGTTGAAAGTCGAAACAAACCCGAATTCGGACGAGCACGGTCAAAACAAATCTTGCTTGGGTCGAGCACGGTCGAGCACATTTTTTTTCGGTCGAATACGGTTGAAACATATCCTGCTTGGGTCGAGCACGTTCGAGCACATTTGTTTAGGTCGAGCACGGTCGAAACATATCAAGTTTTGGTCGAGACGGTCATAACATACCAATTTTTAGTCAGTCGAAACATAAAGTGTGCACCTCGACCCAAATGTTCTTAAATTGATCAAAATCTTTTTTATAGTTGCCCTGTTGTAACAACATGCCATCCGAGAATTGAAATTTGATTTTAAAAAAGTCCTCAGACACCACTAATTGTTTAGGTTGTTAGGGCAAAAGTATAGCTTTTTAAAATTGAATAGAATGAAGTGATGATGTAATCGGCAGAAATAAATCATGCTTTTTTCGTAAAAAATTTATTTCGCAAAAGGCGAAATTGACAGAAATTAATTATGCATTCTTTTTGTCGCCTCATTCAGCAAAATGTTTGCAAGTTCTTTTGGGATCTTTCAAGATGATTACAGTGGTGTGCGCAGAAATTTTTCTAAGGGGCGGTTTTTCAAAAAAAAATTTAAAACTTTGTTTTTTTAATTCGACCAATTTGATTTTCCCAGCTCTCCCAAAGTAGTATAAGGACACTATTTTATGAAACATTTTCTGCGCCGCAGGCAAGTTTTTCAAAAACAAAAAAAATGCGTTTTTTCGGCGCGGGCTCCCCCCTCAAAAAAGTTATATTGGCGCCGAAGTCGCCTTTACAAAAATTTTGAGGTTGTTCAGCGAAAAATGGAGGTCATAAAATTTGGCAAAACCAGAATTGAGAAAGAAGCAGCCGCCTACCCCCCCCCCCCCCCCTCCCCCTCCCCTCGGCTCGCTACGAGCCTGATACGAACAGTCTTGTTATTTTTAATTTTGCTTTTATATAAGTCAGATGGGTCACCTGATCGGTTTGGCCTTTGCGACTTCCACTGGTGACAGTGGGGTTAGGCACAGACACATTGTTCCTGTAGCGCACCCCCATGTCGGCCAGCTTCTCCCTCAGAGTCTCCATCCTGTCCCCGGTCACAGTCAGAGCAATGTGAGACACTATCAGATCATCGTCAGAGTGCACCGCCGGACGACCTTTGATCAGGTGCAGGTCCACATTGCCCATTGTCAGCCACGCGCCATGTCTAAAAATACTTTCTTCAAGCTGTGCAACGTTTCTGAGACCAAAGAAATGCCAAAAATGCACGAAGTTCTCAATAGAGGCACAACAGAGGCCTTCCTAAGGAGCTGAACAGCATGTATGTTGGTCCTTTTCATTGTAAAAAAAAACGTTCTCAACAAATATTCAATGTTTTGACAGCACCTTGTTTGGCCGTTACTAGCTGCAGTTTTAGAGGCTTTAATTGCGTTCTTGCTCAACAAAATTTGTCACAAGAACCAAGTTAAAATATTTGCTTAACTGTTCATGAGTTTAAAAATTAGGATGTCAAAACAGGGGCAGATGACGGTTAGAGGGCGTAAGCTTTTCTTCAGAGACTCGACCTACTGCCACCCAAAGGTCCCATTTTGGCACTATTTCCGACCGCACAACCCTCAATTTTTCGACAGGCGCCAGACATAATAATTTTGAAGCGGATTCGTCCGCCAAAAAAAAAGCGACCTGACCAAAAATTAAAGAAGTGAAGCTATACCTGTCGAAGTCCGGTCGCATGACTTGTTCGAATCCGACCACATCGGTGTAGAATGCGAGACTGGTCCCAATGTCAGCCACCACAATGGCAATGTGATTCACATTCACCCACCAGTTTCGCACACCTCTCATGTCTAAAATAGCAGTACCAACTGCTTATATACTCTTTACTTTAATTATAAAAATTTAAAGCTCGCTAAAAGTATTCGAGTAAAAATAAACTCTGATTTTTTTTCGACGTTCAAAATGTAAATTTAATTTTTTTGACACAAAGTTTTTTGATAGACAGATCGTATTTTGAAAATTTATTTTTTGAGTTGAAATTAATTTTGACGCACATATTAGCCCAGAAAAACTCTAGTACCGAGATTATAAGCTAATAAACATAATATGAAAATGAAAAAATGTGGCATGGTTTATCGAAGTATAGTACTAGTTTCAACTACTTAGTATAGTAGTTGAAAACATTTAAATATATTGTCAAACCTACTAGCCGATACTCAGCCATGTAATGATCACACATTAATTTAACCTGCAAAAAAAATTTCAGTATTTTAAGACCGATTTTCGCTCGGCAATTTTCGCTCAGCAAAAACAAGTTGTCAGATTATCTTAGGGGCTATCGACTTTTGATAGATCTTTGAAAAACGCAGAAACCAATTTTTGATCTAAGCACATTTCAAATTTCGGTTTACTGGATAATAAAAATTGTTTGTTACCAATTTGCGCGTAACAGATTGAACTAAATAGTTAAAAATGGTTACACAGAGCTGATTTTGAATTTATACGGACAAAGCGAACAAAAGTGGAAGCTTTTAAAGCATTTTTTCTCGAGGTGGCAATCAATGATTAACATTAAAACTGCTTCGTAGAATATCGATTGCCATTTAATGTTAAATTAAGGTATAAAAACGGACCCACGCAAGCAACGTTCCGATGACAGAAAGTGTTTCCAAATATATTTCTAAAAACGTTGCGCTAATTATCAAGCTAATAGAATTATTGAAAAAATATCGAGCCAAGTCAAAAAATTTTGAGAAACAAGTATATTGAAATACCTGATTCGTCTTGAGTTTCGGCAGGCATTATTTTGCTGTTTATCGAAAATAAATTTGAAAAAAGAGACTTTTTTCTACAACTATTTTCACAGGAGTATATGACAGTTTTGAATTGTCCGAAGGAAAGGTTAGAACTAAACTGCCAATAATACCAGAAGTTTCCCTAAATAATCGAATAGAAAATTAAGTGTTCAACTATTGGTTTAAAATTCCTAATATACATTTTGAATTTAGTAAACAGACCATTGAAAAATATGATTTCAGGCCAATGAAAACAATTTTTAATTCAACTTTTTTGTTATTTATTTATTTGATGCATTATATTCAAAAAAAATTACACTGATTAAAAATGGTTACAAGTCAATTTATGCCAGGACAACTTTTTCCATGCTATCTAAGCCCATATGCCAACTTGGCCCAGATTTAAAATGACGCCTTATTTTTTGTTGCCTACGATGGTATCAAGATAACTGTTTGACTTTTATGGTTTCATCAAAGATTGTTGTATGGGACTTTTCGTAAATATAAGTATAATTAAAACAAAACATTCATCAAAGTATCAGAGGAAAGTTATGGGGCAAGTTAACCTGAGACATGTCAGTTCAGAAAAGTTAGCAAGATGGCAAGTGACCGGGCTACAAGTTGTCCAGGCACCTCAAAATGAGGTTAAAACTGTTATTAGACATTGATCTAGCCCTGAAACATAAGTTTAAAATAAACTATTAGAGTTTTTTGAAAAAAAAAGAAGTCTAGGTTGAGTTTGAACCAAAAAATACAACTTAAAAGCAATAAGCATATAATCCAGTAGATCTAACGGTCAATATTTTGACTTAAGGTTGCGATCACCTCGAGCAAAATCAAGGCTTGTACTAAACAGACTCGCACAAAACAGTCCGGAAAAAACATGATAAAGAACAAAACCAGCACGACACAGAACAACGGTAGAAAAAGCCCAATTGATAATTGTCGCTTTAACAGTTTAAAGTTAAATTGGACTATTTTTGTATCGGACAGTTTTTGTTAGCTATCATAATTTCTTGGACTGTTCTGTATATAACTGTTTTGCATGGGATTTTTTGTATATGCGCACCAGAATCAACCAAATTTTGAACAAGCTGAGCCAATACATCTGTTAACAACAATTACGACAGAGCCAGATCCTGCTCAATTTTAGCGGATTCGACCAAGTTCGACCAATCTGTTTCGATGAAATTCGACGCAACTAAAATTGGCCGTTTTGACCAGTTCAAATTTTGGCTGTTTCGACCTTGTTGGTTAATCTTATACAAAATTCACCAAATTATTTGTACGAAATGGTTAATTCGGATTAGGTACACCGTTTGTTCGTCACGCTATCGTACTTTTGGCCGGATTGTTTCATGTAACTTCTTAATCTAATACCGATCCTAATCTTACTCTTATCTTACCTTCTAGTTCTAGCAGATCCTAATAAAATACTGCTCAAAGCAGGCTTAACTTGAGAACAATTTTCATCTATTCGAAAATATTTTGTCTCTGATTGAGATCAGTCAAAGCTTACAATTCGGAATATATATAATTCATAGTTAAGAAAGGTGTTTAGTTAAAAATCACTACTTTACACTCATATTCAATACAAAAGATATAAAGTGTAAAGCCACAAAAGCATCCATCAGGGGGTTATTAAAAGTTTGAAATTATATTCAAAGAAATTGCTTCAATTGTTTTCTTGAAAAGTTCTTGTTTGGGCTACTAACTTCTATTACATGTTTCAATCGGGATCGAATTGTGCATCGACTTTTTCTCTCTCGTAAAGCTGATTTTTCAGGGGGTAGTTTTTCACTCCGCCATAGAGGGTTGTAGTGCTAAATTTAACATTTTTTTTCCGAGATAATTGATGAAATGTACCTGGATTTCCACGAGGGAGTACTGAATGAAGTAGATCGTATACCATTTGATGAGGAAGCTGAGCAACATCCTTTCTTTTAATGGCGCTGAAATCACTTCTGTTCCAATATGAAAATGTCCTTTTAGATGGATCGTAGCAACAAGAACTGGTGTTTTCTTTTCAACTTCTGGTGGTAATGCATAAAAATCTGGCGGGATAAAATCTGTACAAAAACCTACATCATTGTATAGTGTTAAGTTTTTAGCATGAAGTTGTTAGTTAATTGCATAAGCTTTTTCTTCTAATTGTGTCAATAATCCACACTACAACCATTCAGATTGAAAATTGCGGTTCTAAGGGAGAGTCAGTCAGCTCGCTGGGTTAGGCCCGCTTCCAGCAGAATCAGAGCGTCCTTAACTGTTCGGCGAGGCTATTTTTGGGGAGTATACTATCGAGGGCTTAATCCAATGAAAGGGTTAAAATTTTCTACAACATTTATTGCATTTATCTGAGTATTGTGAAGGTTTATAATTTTATTTGTCAATTCCGAAAATCCTACCGCACAAATCATTTAGCAGTGGATTTAGATCGGAGACTAGTTTTTAATGATCTTAATTATTTTTTCCTAAACTAATTGAAAAATTGAAATGCTTTTGTCAATACATGTTGAAAATGAACATTTAGGATATCCTGGTGCATGTCATTATTTCGTGAGGTGAAAAAACGCTGGTTGACGGTAGCGTATTTTCCGTTTCTTTCCTATTGTGTACACAGACAGTTTCAAAGCTAAACCTTTTATTTAAAAAAAAAAACAAGTTTTGTCACGTTTGAGCCAGTTACTTCAAAACCATTATAAATAACTTTCATGCGAAGTGTTTTTGATTTATTTCTTTAATTTGTTATTATCACGCAAAATTCCGGGCTAATGACCAATGTGAGTAGGTTTTTGGTCGCATTAAAAATCTTTGAGTAAAATAGTAGTTTTTCTTAGAAGCTAGTGAAGAGATTTGTTTCATATTTTTCGTTTAGTAATGTGAGGCCATAAAAATTCTATTGTTTTGAAAAAAAATCAGTTATTTCGGTGTTTTGTGAGAAAGGATGGTTTAAGTTTTTTTGAACAGATTAAATAACAATTGATTTGCTTAAAATGTAGTTAAAATCTAGCAGTGGAACTTCAATGGCAAAAATTTTCATCTTGGGCCGCCAGTGGTTCCGATGAGAGATAAGGATAAAGACAGTTCTGATGATTTATGTTTTTTCTACAGTTTTCGCAGCCGGTTTTTTTCTTTAGACTTGCACAATCTTCTGAAAAGCCCCTTGCATTTACAATTGTTTCTCACTGTTTCCCTCGTTGGACATACGTTTAAATGGCCATTGATAGCGAGCGTTACAACATTTCATGTGTTTTTCGACGTTCAAGCTGGGTTCTACTTTTACAGGATTAAAATATTTGTACAATTTATTATTTTTGTTTTATAGTGACTTGTACGCAAAATTAAGATTTTTTTGTGAGGTTAAGAGAGTTTAAGAAACTCTTTTTCGTCCTATAACTGCTTGATTTAGGACATCCCTCATTTTGCCATGTTGAAAGTAGAAAACCAAATACCCTGCTCAGAATTTTTTCATAGCACAGGACTGATTAAATCTGAAAGTTTCCTCATATCTGCTCATAAGACTCACGATCTTTTTTGTTTGCGGCTTAAAAATTTGAACTGCTTGAAGGTTCTGTTAGAAAGTTTGAGGAATTCGGTCTTTAGGAGTCCGTAAAACTATTTAAAAGTCACAAACACTACTTTCATCCGGTTTTTATTCCAAAAATTTTTCTTTTCCTTCTGCGCTTAAGGCCAAGTGCAGTGTTGCTCTTACTTTTTTGTGTGTCTTGCATCTTCTCATGTCACCAAATTTTTGTAAATCTTCCGCGATCTTTTTTTCTTCTGAGACTTCATAAGCTCGCATAATGTCTTTATTTCTTGACTCTCTCACTTTCTTTGTTTGTACGTTTTCTGAATCTTGGGTTCTTTCCATTATTGGAATTTCAGTTTCCGTCTTTAATGGTTCTTTTAAACTGTCAAGGACTAAGTTGTCTTTGGAAAGAAATTCTAAATGGAATTAATTATTCCAGTTTTCCATTCGGCGGGGGTTCTACAGGGTGGTTTGGCAAAAAGGCAGAAAATCTCCATATAAAATTGAGTTAGATGAATGCGCCACCAAAAGGGTATATAGATACCAATGGCATACTAATGACTAACAAAAAAAAGACTGATAAAAACACTCTAGGCAGGGTAAAATCTACTTTTAACGTTTAGAGCGTAATTTTTCCTATAAAAAAATCTACTTTCAGACGTTAATAAACTTTTTTCCTTTTAGAAAATTCATGAAATTTTTTTTAGAAATTGAACAGAGCATTCCTTATTTTTTTGAGATTTTTTCTGAAAACCATCCGCCACATGCTATGTAAAGTATAAATTGACGTAACTTTCATATAGCAAAAAGTAAATAGACTAAGTAGCTTGCCTCAATTCAAATTCCAATGGTTTGAAGACAAACTCAATTACCGCTTACGCGCTATAACACGAGTTATCGCGCTTTAATTAACCCGATTTGGCTAAATTTGCAATCTTTAAATAACCCTATTTTAAGAAAAAGCAAACGTTTAATTATGTAATAATCTTCGGGTAATAATAGTGTAATATTCTTCGGCTAATAAAAAAATTCGTCAAAAATTGTCAACTAAAAGGTCGAACTCTGTCTAAAAAAAACCCGAGTACAAACTTTTCATCACATTCAAAAAAGAAGACTGCCCGTGTATTATGGCGAAGATTTGAACTTTCCGGCTGCCTTTTACTGCTGATCACAAAGGTTTTTCGTGTATTAATTTTTCAGTATTTGAAAAAAGACGAAAAACATTTCAAAAGTTATCCCCATTTCTTATGAAAAGTACCAGGGGTATATTTTTGCTTTGCGTGTGTCAACGAATTATTCAGAGAAAGCTTATTGCCTCAGTTCAATTTCGAAGGATAAAAAATCACAGACTAAATATCTTTTTAGGTATGTTTAAATGGCCATTGATTGCGAGCGTTACAACATTTCATGTGTTTTTCGACGTTCAAGCTGGGTTCTACTTTTACAGGATTAAAATATTTGTACAATTTATTATTTTTGTTTTATAGTGACTTGTACGCAAAATTAAGATTTTTTTGTGAGGTTAAGAGAGTTTAAGAAACTCTTTTTCGTCCTATAACTGCTTGATTTAGGACATCCCTCATTTTGCCATGTTGAAAGTAGAAAACCAAATACC